GAGCCGCCTGTGAGCGGCAAGTCCCCACTCGCGATGCCACCCGGGCAGAAGAGGTGGATTCTGCTGGGCCGACTTCCGAGGCAGCTGCCATTTCATCGAAAAAAGCAACCAGGATAGGCGAGGCTTCGCACGGCGTTTGTACATGCGTTGCAAGTGCACGGTGAAGGCGATTTTTCCTGGTCGACACTTGAGAGCGGCGGACATCAAAGGTGCTCAGTGGGCGAAGTCGAAGGGGACCTGCTGGAAGGTTATCGACTTTGTAGCAGGGCACGGCTTGTGGGCTACGACTTCACAAGTGCAGCATCGAGAGGACTATCATGCGAAGGTCGTTGAGGACAAGGACACTCTCCCCAAGGGGGCCCAATGCGCGGCGATTGCAAACGACAACTGCGATCACGACCCGCGGGTCGGTGAGCGGCAGGGGGAAGGACCGCATATTTCGTTCATAGCCGCAACAGCTGTGACGGTGGGGGACGATGTGGGTAGGATGCAAGACGCCGCTTCGCTCAGGAGACGCAGATCTCTTACGGTGGATCAGATTACAAAGGGGCTGGAACGAGAGGAGGGAGACCGGCGGTTCAAGGATTTCGAGCGGACACTTCGCCGCGCCGCCGTCGACAGTGTGTTGAGTAACTCAAGTGAGGATAGCCCTTGGACATGCGTCGAATCTGAACTCCGCAAGNAACGAGAGGAGGGAGACCGGCGGTTCAAGGATTTCGAGCGGACACTTCGCCGCGCCGCCGTCGACAGTGTGTTGAGTAACTCAAGTGAGGATAGCCCTTGGACATGCGTCGAATCTGAACTCCGCAAGGTAAGCATATTATTTCGACTTGAGAGTCATCTTAAGAGTATGTTCAAACTTGCCACAAGACGCGATAATCTCCGACATATACAGCACAACATTTACCCGTCCCTCGCGTAAAAGAGTTTACGACGTTTCTATTTAGTTTTTTTTTTCCAAGTCTTGGCAACCCATTCCGATGCTGGAACGGCATGCTCTCCAGGTTGATTTTGAAGGGTAAAGGTTTAACGGAGGGCGTGCACCGGTCGAACGCGCACGGTGTCCCCTTAAATATCCCGGGTCATCCTTTGACTGAGGGGGCTCGGTTGTTGGAACGATGTGCACACGATCGAACTTGTATCGTCAGGATGTCAGGATAATGCTTTGGAAAGTAGAACTATCTCAACCTGTAGCGGTGAAGCAGATGTGTCAAAAATGCTGTGAACAGGCACATGTTCAAATGATTTCCTTGTTCGTATGCACATGTGTATCCGACGCAGCTCGTAACACCTGAGGAAAGATCTGAGGCCGACGGACGATACGCGTTTATCCAGCGAGGATCTACGAAGAGGTATACCGACAACAAGGCTGCAATCGACCGTATCCTGGAAATGTGGCGTTATACCTCAGCCGGTGAGGAGGGTGCCCCGTGCATCATCGCCGGGGACGAGGAGACCTACAGGTTCCTGTATCATATCATGAAGCAAAACCCAGAGGAGTACCGCCAAGTCCGTCGCTACCCGGGCGATTGGCATTTCCTCTCGCACATGACTAAGGCTCTTCTGAGGCGATATTGGGGGGCTGGGGTGGAGCATGTAGCCGAAGAATTGGGCGCGGACAACAAGAAGTCGGCGGACGGGAGTCTCCCTGCGCTTATTGTTCCCCGCGTCCGGGAATGTAGCGATTCAAGTGCTTGTATTTTCGCAAGGTTACATGTGCTGTAGATATATAGTGCCGAATTCCTTTACTCGTCAAGTTTAAAGTTCTTGCGTTGGGCCTACGGTATCATCATGGTGTGCACAAAGAAAGATGCACACACGGCAAACGACATTGTTTTTGGAGCTTCACCCTCATTTTTTTAGTGTTGATTCTCTGCGTTAGTTAGTAGGTCCACCTGACGAATTGTCTCATGTTCATTAAAGTTGTTAGCAAATCTCTTGTTCGTGCGGGCGGGGGGGGGGGGGGAGTCTGAATGGAAACACGCGAACTCACG